ATATTATATAATATATATACATATATTGTATTATATATACATACAATATGTGTATATATATATACATAATATATATATACATAATATATGTGATATATATATATATTATATAATATATATATACATACATATATATGTGTATATAAATATATAATATATACATATCCATATGTGTATAATCACTATATAAACATATAAATATAGCATTTATATATACATATATATATATATATATATGTAATATAATTAGTATATGTATATATATATATATATATATTATATATATATTATATATATATATATATATATTTGTGTGCGTATACACACAGATGTATAATATACATACATACATATTATACACACATATATACTTATACATAAATATATATATAAGTACATACATATACACACATATTCATATATATACATACTAATCTATACATACATGCATAAATAAGTACATATACATACATATATATACAAATATATTCATTCCTTTGTGTTTCTGCTCGTGTTCATATATATATATATATATATATATATTAATATATATATATATATATATAATATATATATATTATATGCAGTTCCTAAAAGATACTTCTAAGACAAACCTTTTGCCTGTAGCTATGTGCAACCTGCTGTTACCACATAACTCAAAGAAGTCTTTCCCCGAAACAAAGAGGAACAGACCAAAAACTTCTGAAGTAGTATTCTAGAATTCCCCGCTAGTGATCTCTTTCGAGAGAGAATGGGGTGGTCATCCGATAAGGCCCTACCAAGTTACGAGTAATTAGTTCCCGAAGATGACACTAGCACCCAGGATGCGCACGCACCCCAGGTGGAGGAGAGATGGAGCCAACCGGGAGTCAAATCTTTGTGGCTGGTGGTGAAGGCCCTGTGCCTGGCACTGTCACAATGAGCTCGAGACTGATCCGACCAATGTCCTAATTCAGGCAGACCATCTCCAGGCTTATCAATAGACCAGAGTCATCCAGGCGTCTGGTACTATGGCGGTTCACTTGCTGGTTGAAGATAGATAGATAAATAGATGGACAAATATTTTATATAACTGCCCTATCTGCTCTAAGGGTCATTAAGATCTGCGGTCTTATTACAATCCAACCCCTTTGTAGGCTATGCTCCTGTAGCCCTGCACCCATGCAAAGAGCGAACAATGTTCCCACAAATGTGACTAACGCCTCTGCAATTGTGGGAGTTCTTGCGTACGTATTCCAAAAGTAACAACTTTCTTCGGACTGGCAAACGCTGGCTCCGTGAGACAGTTAATCCACACACAAGAAAGGAAAATCACCCATAGCTCGGCTTTATAATATACAATAGCATTCCTTACATTTGGCTGGCCGACACGCCTTTACTGTGGAAGGAGGAAGGTAATCCTTCTCTGGCAAGTGCTGAAAGACGCACGGCGGCAGCTGCTTGACGGGCCCATGGCCTCCACGCAGACGCAAGAAATCCTTCTGGCTCGCAGCGCTTGGCACACACCATACATCCTAAATGCCACGCGATAAATCTAACGCAATAATCCCTAGAATGCACGTGTGCCCCCACACGCGAAGAATGAACAAGAATGAACATTAAACGTGAAAGCTACGTTCTACAGCTAAACAAAGGCTCTGAAAACTTAAACCCTTGCATTCGACAAGGCCCATTTCCATTGTATCCGAATGGATTGACATTATGCCTCCACAAAATCTACTCGCGCCTTCATCGAGAGATGTCGCATCCTTCCCAGTTACGCATTGCGTGGGAGGGTTCGCTTAAAATCTGCTCGACCCAAAATGACCTCGCCTTAGTTTCTGAAACATAACCTGAAATCTTTTAGACTCTGGAATTAAGAAAATAACACATGTCTGCAAAATGGCTGCTGGTATTTTAGGTGACGGATTAAGATGATTCCTTTATTTTTTAGGCTAAGAGCCATACTCTTCTTCCTCTCTCCCTCCCCAACCTTCACCTCTTCCCTCCCTATCTCCTTGTGTGCGTGTCTGGTGGTGGGGGTGTGTCTGTTGTGTTGTTGTGTCTGTGTGTGTGGGTGTGTTTGTGTGTGTGTATGTGTTTGTGTGTGTGAATGTGTTTGTGTGTGTGGGTGAGTCTGTGTGTATGGGTGTGTCTGTGGATGTGGGTGTGTGGGTGTGTGCGTGTGTGAGTGTGAGTGTGTGTGAGTGTGAGTGTGTGTGTGTGAGTGTGTGTGCGTGTGTGTGTGTGTGCGCGTGAGTGATGTGTGTGTGTATCTGTGTATGTGCGCGTGTGTGTGTGTTGCGTGTGAGTGATGTGCGTGTGTGTGTGTGTGTGCGCGTGTGAGTGTGTGTGTGTGTGTGTGTGTGTGTGTGTGTGTGTGTGTGTGTTGGTGTGTGTGTGGGTGTGTGTGTGTGTGTTGTGTGTGAGTGTGTGCGTGTGTGTGCGTGTGAGTGATATGTGTGCGCGTGTGAGTGATGTGTGTGTGTGTTGTGTGTGTGTGTGTGTGTGTGTGTGTGTGTGTGTGTGTGTGTGTGTGCGTGTGCGTGTGCGTGTGGCGTGATGTGTGTGTGCGTGTGAGTGATGTGTGTGTGCGTGTGAGTGATGTGTGTGTGCGTGTGAGTGATGTTGTGTGTGCGTGTGAGTGATGTGTGTGTGCGTGTGAGTGATGTGTGTGTGCGTGTGAGTGAATGTGTGTGTGCGTGTGAGTGATGTGTGTGTGCGTGTGAGTGATGTGTGTGTGCGTGTGAGTGATGTGTGTGTGCGTGTGAGTGATGTGTGTGTGCGTGTGAGTGATGTGTGTGTGCGTGTGAGTGATGTGTGTGTGCGTGTGAGTGATGTGTGTGTGCGTGTGAGTGATGTGTGTGTGTGCGTGTGAGTGATGTGTGTGTGCGTGTGAGTGATGTGTGTGTGCGTGTGTGTGATATGTGTGTGAGTGGTGTGTGTGCGTGTGAGTGATATGTGTGTGAGTGGTGTGTATGTGTGCGGTGTGTATGTGTGCGGTGTGTATGTGTGCGGCGTGTATGTGTGCGGTGTGTATGTGTGCGGTGTGTATGTGTGCGGTGTGTATGTGTGCGGTGTGTATGTGTGCGGCGTGTATGTGTGCGGCGTGTATGTGTGCGGCGTGTATGTGTGCGGCGTGTATGTGTGCGGCGTGTATGTGTGCGGGTGTATGTGTGCGGCGTGTATGTGTGCGGCGTGTGTATTGTGCGGCGTGTATGTGTGCGGTGTGTATGTGTGCGGTGTGTATGTGTGCGGTGTGTATGTGTGCGGTGTGTATGTGTGTTGTATTGTGCGGTGTACTGTGCTGTGCGTATGCCGTTTGCAGTATGCAATAAGCATTATGCATTGGGCAATGTACAGCATGTAGTGTGTAATGTCTAGGCCCCCACGTGCGTGTGATATAACACCAAGAGAAGTTATTCAATATGCCGCTTGTACATAACACGGGAAAATTGCCGATGGTCATAGCACTTACTATAATACGAAGGGCATCCTCATGAACACTCGCTTATAAATCTAATAATGCCCATGCAAGTCACAGAGGGAATAAAAAACGACTGGTTCCTTTACACCTTGAGAAAAAATTAGATATTCGTCGTTTGGTCCATTGCACTTATAATTATATTTCTAATCTTCATGAGATAGGATACACAGATGCAATTATCATTATCGTATCCCAGCAAAATGATGAACCCACTCTTTATACATTCAGTTTCTCCACACCATCATAAGGTAAAATTTGCCTGTAATGATGAGAAAGCAGTGCAACGCGTCATACTTTGGCAGATAATGTAATTATATCATAACCAAAGAGAAAACTACTCCCTACTCAAAAACGAAGAAAATAGGTCACGATAAATGCTGCGCGGGTATAAGTGACCGGGAGGGGGGGGGATACAGGGACGAAGCCCCGATAAGAAATTACGGCGATCGGTTGGGGGTCTCTCCGGGTAGTATGATACCCTAACGTCTAGCAATTTTCTTACCACATTATTAAATGTCTTCGTGGATTGTTAAAGCGAAATGCAAAGCCAATGGAAACCTTTACCGTAACCTAACAAATTCATACGCGCAAGCACAAGTACAAGCATACAAATCGATGATAGGCCTATATATACACAAACATAAACATGCATATACATATGCACGCAAACGTGCACAATCTTACAATAATGGTATTTTCAAAAGCTATACCTAATCGTTAATTAACCAATAATTACCCGTCACCAAACTTTTGCATACTAATGGCACAATAACCGAAATCTCATGGGCTAACTGCTACTCGGTGAAATAGTTTGCACTACATGTTTTAATTAACACAAATGTGAATCTGCAACACAACATCGCTCGTGAGGGCCTACATACACCACACGGACCCAAAGACTACTAACTGTTATCCGACTTGGCACCGACCTACCTCCTGGTGTGGGCCAGACCGAAGTCCGTGATCATGAGTCTGGAGTCCGTTCCCGGATGGTAATATAATAAGTTATCCGGCTTCAGATCCCTGTGAGTGATGCCTAGATTGTGCAAGTACTTCACGCCCTCCAGCACCATCTTGAGGACTTTGACCGCGTCCCTCTCCGAGAAAGGGCCTTTGGTCATGATTTTGTCAAAGAGGTCTCCCCCCGTGGCGAGTTCCATCACCATGTATATTTTATCCACACTCTCAAACACCTCCACTAGCTGTATAATATAGGGGCACTTCACACGCCGTAATATCGCCAGTTCGGCCTCGAACGCCTCTCGCCCTTCCTTGGACTCGATGATCTTGATGGCATATGGTTGTTTCGTGAGTCTGTTCTCGACCCGAACCACTTTGCTGAACGTCCCTTGCCTATGAGTGCTTTGATGTCATATTTGGCCGTGATTCGCGGGTCGTACTTGGTTTTAAACTTGTTACTCTTGTTCAGTCTTTCGAGTTTGATTTTCTCTGCAAGGTTGTTTCCATCGTCAACCCTAAGTTCGCACTTGACTTCGGTTTCGGAAAGTCCTTCACTCCGACACTTCTCATCGCCAAACACATCCTCGAGATGGCACACAGTCTTGATATCACTGCTAGATACATTCTCCACCACTTTTTTGCTTTCTACACAACCCATGACGACCCTCCGAGCAAAAATACATGCTGCAGAACTCAATAACTCACAAAAGCAGGGAGAACGTCACACGACACCCACACTCTAGGCAAGACACTCATCCACTGACGGCAAGAGAGCCGAAGAGCCATTCAGTGAGTGCCTTTTCTGCGCTTTCTTAACCACCATTTGTCCCGCGCTAATTGTATCTGCGGCAGGTTAATGACGAGAAACAGGAGGGTTTAACCGATTAGTTTATTTGTAATTTAACTTTGCCCTTGTTAACATGTATTTTTTACAAAACAATTTTCAATTTAACATCGTATGTACATTTTGATATAAGAACCGCTGCAAGATGGATTCTTAGCTAGCCAGATTAGAATATTAATTTTGATTGTTCCTAAGATATAAACAAATGACTGTAACTCATTTTAGTAAATAACTTATCACCCCAGTGTGATTTATTGCAAGACTAATGTTGTCCCGCTGCTCTCTTTCATGTTTGTAATAAGAATCTTAGATAATTTCTTCAGGGCACAGTAAAATATAAAGTCGTGCAATATGACATGTAGACCGCAATTAAGAAAAAAATAAAAACCATAGCAGGTGAAGAAAAGAAGAAATAATTATTTAGCAGAAGAGCCGTGTCCTTTGCCGATTAACCAATGAGCATCGAGCTTCAGATGACAACAATCCGGTCAGCCAATCAGCACTTGATCTCCCTCTGCGTCTGTGAAGGCCTCCGAAAGTTTTGACGGCTGACTTCGGTGATCTCTGCTCTTTCTTTGGACTTTATTATTTTTGCCGCATATCTAATGCATTACTAACGGAATATATTTTTCTATGTTTTATTTTATCGAAAATGACCATTAAATGTCTGAAGCAATCCTGATGCCAGGCAAGAAATAAAACAATAAACAAAATGACAAAATCGGACAAATGATCAAGATAACCCACACCAACATGGCTGATGGAAGGAACACTTGTTTTGAATAGACCGATTTTAGCGTCTTAGTTCATCACCAAGAGCTTAAATATGTCTTGACTGGGTGAGTTAATATCATATCCTATATGGTGTAATAACATTTTAAAAGAATATCGCCCTGAAGCAACGGTAAATAGACCGTCAACAAGTGGTCTTGGCATTAGCACTCAAGAAGCCTCATAATATGCTTTTGTGACGAGATTATCAGGAACAGGAAGTATTTAGACTGGATTAGTGTATATCGTTATTTAGACCATTCATATTATCAGTGGCATAAAGGAAAGTGTCTTTGACACGTGGTTCCGGAATAGCCAAGACCGGGCTGAAGAGATGTGTAAGACAGACAGACAGAAAGGTAGGCCTATGACGAACATAAACGGATGTTTTGACTCATAATAAGCAAGCCCTAATTCAGTTTATCATTTTAATCACGTATCCGTAGATTTACCCGTATGTTGATTGCCATACTAGTGTTTTCTAGAATAGACAAGAAGCCATTCCGATTGTATAAAATTTGGTTAGTGACTGTGTCACAAAATACCACCAGAAGCATTATATATATTTATTTCTTCATTTCTTATTAAGTCAATTTCAAGTAATGTTTTAAGAACAGAATAGAGAAAGTTTTTATTCAACTCTACTTGGGAATTCATAAGCTATTGTTTAGTGTAATGAAAGCAGTGGTGCTGTCTGATGAAGTACTTAAAGAGTGAACTCTTGCAATATATCAAGAGTGATTTACTGCATTATGGTGTGTCTCCTTTTTTTCCTTTTCTTTTTCTTTTTTTACTAAATTCAGGACAGTGTTGGAATTGTATATTTCATATCATTTCATAAACTTGATTAAATATAACTTTTAGTCTGTCTACTACCCCTTCAGAAAAGAGTAGTAGAAATGTAGGTAATTTTGCAGAATACCTCTTTTGGTGTCTATGATTCCTCTCACTCTTTATTATCCAAGTATTTTGAAATTATGCCATGGAATCCCCCATTAGTTACAATCTTAGCCCCAATAGTAGGGAGGGTATGAAAGGTACCAGGGAATTACGGGGTAAAATGTGACGAACATATACAAAATCAGTCCCTTATATTGTCTCAGGGAGCTGTGCCCCCTGCAATCCCCTTCCTAGGGTTTAACCACCTCCCAATTCCCACAATGGAAGACAAAGAATCCTCTATGTATTTATGACAAGAGTAGAGCACACAACCAAAATGCAGAGCGATGAGGGCAGAGCGTATGATCGACATGAAGATTCGACATAAACGAGGGACTGATCCTGAGTCTGTCTGACACTCTCTCCTGCCATGAATACTTGGAGGATTCTTTGTTTTTATGGTCAGAGGCTGGGGGGTTTCAGCCCTCATAGGGGGATTGCAGGGGTTGTGCCCCTGACATTTAACCTTATAGTGACTGATTCTGTGAATATTATTCATATTTTGCCCCTTAATTTCCGTGCTACCTTTCATGCCCTCCCTTGATATCAGAGCCAAGAATGTGGGGGTTCAGCAGCATAATTCCTTCATATATGTGTACTAGAGGATGATAGGATATCTATTGATATCATTAAACGGTACTTCAAAGGCATTCCATAAAATTACCGAAATGTAAACATGAATAGATGTTTGCTTTAAGTCTATATCTAAGGAACCTCTGGAATGGTGATAAACAGATAAACCTGAATTTTAAAAGAGTTGACCATCAAAAAAATTACCAAATTCCTCCAGTTATGAGTTCTATTATTTGTTAGAAAATATTCATATATAGATGGCATATAGATTCTTAGCTATATATTTCTTTGATAGTTACTCTATATTTATTTCAAATGTACACAACTAAATGTTCTATGAAGTTATTATACCCTTCACACACTTTTTAGAATAGCTATTGAATGGAGTAAAAATACAGTAGTTTTTGATTAAAATATATAGTTTGCTGTGCACATGATTATATGAAATTTCATCTCTAGAAAGATTTTCATAGCAGTAGGCTTTTATGAGACTAATACTTTTTTAAAGGCACATATTATAACATGACACTCTTTTTACCTTTCACCCGTTCCCCATCATCATGGGACACTATTACAAGGAAATTGTAGACTGAAATTATAGGGTTTTCTTTAATTATTTTTTGGAGATATTGGGACTTGCCAGATACATAAATGCTAGGTGGTTAGTGAGTGAGGTAAAAGTACATTTGTTATTTTTTGATATCGTAAGTTAAGCATTATTTTATGATAACACTAATGTGATGATCTTATTATGAACTGGTTGTAATATCACCTATAAGATTAGGTTCTGTTTCTTGGTATCACAATACTGTTTTCAAAAAAAAAGCATACTTTTATAACCACTGATTTTCTATCAGCTTTTGAGAAGCAAATTAAGATAATATTGGGTAAAAATACCTAAAGCTTGCAGAATTAGAAATCTGTCTTGAGCTTAGATAAATGATTAAGAATTGTAAATGAACCTAGCTGCTATTTTCTTTACCTGTTGTGGCAGTTTTTCATATTATATATAATATATATACTTTTCATGTAATGCTTTACAGTGTATTGTAAATATTGTTTACTCATTTTGTATCATACCAGTTGGCAGATATATCCAGCTTGTTGGCAAGTTTAGTCTGAATGATGTAGTAAAGCCAATCCTAGTGTCTAAGTTTGTTGAATGCATCATCTCGGGCAAATCTTTAGAGTTAGTACTGCCGTAAGACTCATTATGAAGGATTTTTTTTTTCTTTCTTTCTTTTTTCTTTTCTTTTCTTTTAAGAAACTAATTTATAAAAGGTCAGAGATGGAAGGGGTTGCCTGAAGGTGAGTTGGGTGCCAAATGTGAATCATTAAATGCCAGTCTGTATGATTATTGTGTTATTATTACCTGTAATTAATCATCATGACAGGGATTGCAGTATGCTGTGTATATATATGATGTGTTTTCAAGTTGCATAGGAGCATTACCATAAGCTTTGCAATTTATAGCTGGTTTGGACATTACTTTGGTAGGGATTTTGCATAGGAGTATTACCATAAGCTTTGCAATTTATTGCTGGTTTGGCCAGTATTTTGGTAGGGATTTTGCACCTTTCTGTGTTTTGAGATATAATATGTCTGCATATTTGCTATTCCACAGGCAACAGTACCAGACTAAGCAAGACACATAACTGTAATTCAGGATGCCATAACTGTTACCACATAGTTGCTTATAAACCCATTTTGATCAAAATTATCCACCCTTAAATAAATTTATACATGCAAAAGTTGGCAATTTACTGAAAGGTACATTAATTGATCAAGTATTGGTAGTATCTAGATACTCTTGAGCAAGGTCCTGTTACATATTAATAGGATGTGACAGCTTGAAGGACAAGAACAAGTGGTACATAGCCATTAATATTTGCTGAACAAATTTGTCGTGAATCAAGTTATGTTTTATTATTATTACTGTTGTAGATAAGATACTTGATAGCTGAGCTATATTGAAAGTAAGAGCTAAAATGAGGTTTTTAGTTATATACAGAGAAATCCTCAAAAAAATTGTATTTCACATCACCTTGTCAGCTAGTGACCACATCACATTTGATGGTGATTTTGAAGATCTCGTCCTGCAACATAGAGGTATACCCATGCTGCTGGATGGGAATGTCAAATCACCAAAACATTTATAGCAATCACATGGTGGCGAGGGAATGTGTAGGTACAAGTGTGGTAAGTATTATGAATTGATATAGTAATAGAATTATCACTTGCAAGCAACCATTTGACCTAATGCGACTTTGATATAATATATCCTCATCAATGTTTTGAGAAGGGGATGAAATTATAAATAATCTGCTGATATATGTTACAGTTATATGATCAAATATTTTGTGTAGAAGGATGGCATACTGTTCTAAATAAGAGAGGAAGAAATTATTGAAATATAAAGAATTTGATTCAAAATGTGTTACTTGATATGTCTTCAGATATCTTCTATCATTTTGATGTAGTGTCGATATTTCATTGATAACTGTAGAATCTTTGGTCAACAACATGGTTGTTGGCACTGTTCAGGGTTAAATTCTTAGGGGTCAGTGATGATCTACAATGAAAGTAACTTGGAAAAATATCAGTTTATGGCCTTTTGCTGTATGATATGCAGTTCCTGCTTCTTCACGTCTGATTCTATTAATTTATTATGAATATGGCAATATTTTGTAATAGATATGTATTGCTTACAATACATGGCATTATACACTGGTAAAATTAGCCACACTCCTTATGTATCTGTAGATGTCAGAGGCATATTTCTCATTAGATAGAAAATTTCAGTAGGAAATTTTGGGAGTTTATTGCCAAAATCCTTGCCAGAAATTACTTAAACATTAGCCATGTTATGATTAATTATTATAAATAACACAATACCTTGTGTGTGTCATTGCTAGCTGATATTATTACTGTATCATCATTTTATGAATCTAGTATTTTATTAAATATTTTAGATAGCTACTGCTTTTAGCTGTTTTAGACATACGACTTAAAAGTTGCAAATTATATGCAGTTTGAATTAATATTACTCCACGTCTTAGTGTTCTGTAATGAAACCCCCCAGAATGTTGAAACTTGCAGAATGGGACAAAATAGTGAGGAGGAGGAGGAGGTTTTAATTTTGCTTTAGTGTGAACATTATTAATTGTGATAAATGTGGAAAAAAATATGAGTGACAGTGATTTTTTTTACACTGCAAGACATGTCTTAAACTTGTTTTGAGTATGTCTTCATTGGAAATATATCTGATGAAGATACAATTGAAAGTTTCAGATACATCACTGGCTCAGTGGAGACATTAATTCTCATTTATGCCTTTTTGTACATTTGCCTCTTTGTATGTCATATTACCACATTCCCATGTGAATTTCTTTTCTTCTTCTTTTAATGGTACAAGC